GTCTAAGTACCAAGGAGAGAGAGAATTGCAGGGAAGCCAGATGCTGTGACTTGACCTAATGCAGAAGCATACCTTCCAGTTTGCCATATTTGAATTACTGTGTCTGATTGAAGCTCGTGTTCCTTATCAAAACCTCTTGCCAAGCAATGGATCCCTTCATGGATGCAGTAAGACCCAAGAGCTTTTGCATATAGAAAGATTCTAGTTTTGTACAGTCTTGACCAAGAGTTTACATTTTTCTTCATGAAAGTTTGGATATTTGAATTTGATGCCCAACAATCAAATTCCACTTCGTCTCTTCCCAAATGCATGAGCTGATCTGAAAACACTTTACTAATTCTTGGAAAAGCATAGCAAGGAATGTGTAAGTTGTATTTAGCATAGGGTTGATAGGCCCACTACTGTTTACAGTATTTGTGCCCTGTAACACTGACTTAGAAGGTCTTTCTGACCTTTTCCCCAAGACTGTGTATGTTCAGGGGTATCAACTTCTGGTATGACTCGAATTCGTTATAATCGGGCATGTTCAGTCACTTTACAGACGTTATTTGGTGTATAAACAAGAGACAAAGTACAGCTTCCTTTATTGCTCAGCTTGGGGAATTGATGCTCTGATAACGGAAAGACTGGTCATCAACTATATGCCAGTGGAGAATACTGAATTTATTTTTTTTAACAACAAGTACATTTATTAGAAAAGAAGAAAGTTATGACATATCCTTGTATCTTTCCTTAAGAAATTAGAAATAAAAGACAGAGTAAAACCAAAAACAAATAGAAGAAAATAATAAAGATCAGAAAACATAACCCCTTATCAAAATGCCAATACCATTTTTCATAACAATTAACATTTTGATTATTATATTTCTGTAGAAATACAAAAGATTCAGAGTAGTCTAAATAACTTTGATAATGAACAAAATTAGAGCTCCAACCCTCCCCAATCCCATGACTTATTCCAAAGTTACACCACTCATGACAAAATGGCATTGATATCAAGATAGACAAACCAGGGGCTGGAGATTTAGCTCAGCTGCATAAGTGTCTGCCTTGCAAGCACGCCTTTGTGAGTTCGATCCCCGGTACCAATAAAAAAAAAAAAAAACAAAAAAAACAAAGATAGACAAACGACCAACGTACCAATATGAAGTCCCAAAATAGATACCCACATAACAGACAATTGATTTCTGGCAAAGATGCAAAAGCAGTTAAGGAACGCTGAACTTATTAAAAGCCATGGCATCCAGAGTTTTAAGAATACCCTTAACTGGCAAGTAGTGTGTGGTTGTATCAATTAAAATTCCTCTCTGAGGGGCTGGGGATTTAGCTCAATTGTATAAGTGTTTGTCTGGCAAGCACGAGGTCATGAGTTGGATCCTTGGTACCAGAGAGAGAGAGAGAGAGAGAGAGAGAGAGAAATAAAATTCCTCTATGAGAAAACCTTGGAAAATCAATCATGTTGGCTTCGTTGACATAAAATCCCATACAAATCTTGATAAACTAACTGGCTAAAGGTCTCTAAATCTTGCAGTGCTTCCCAGACTTTGTTGGCCTTGAGGGAGGCCACTGATTCTTGCACTTAGGGTCTTTTGTAGCCCAGGTTGGTCTCAAATTCACAGAGATCTGCCTGCCTCAGTCTCCCGAGTGCTGGGATTACAGTTGTGCCATTTGTTTTTTTTTTTAATGGTAGCAACATTTATTTGAAAAAAGTAAAAGTGAAGAGTGGGGGAAAAACTGGCTCTGCAGAGCAAGTTTGGGCCAAGTAAAAGGAAAATGCAAGATAAAATTACACCCTAGAGGATGCAAGGTGGACTGTCTTGTGTCCTGTTACGCAATCCAAATCTCCAGGAAACCTGCTAAGATATTTACATAGGGGTCTTGAGAGGTGGTGCTGGGATCCCATGCCCCAGGCTGTCGTCAGGCCCAGGCTGGTGTCAGGCCCAGACTGTCCTAATGAAAAGCCTGCTGGAGTTCTGAGAAGTCTGCTGCAGGGCTTTGGGGACTGTTCTGCGCGTGTGCCCAAGGTCTTGTAATTAACAGTTTGCTAGCTTTGTTATTCTTTTACTACATGTTCAATTGATATATTGCCTACTTTGAAATGTTTTGCATTTTATAATCATACAATTTGTATTTTGTAGGAGTTTTTTGTTGTTTTGCTTTGTTGGTACCAGAGATCAAACTCATAACCTTGCACTTGCCAGGCAAGCGCTTACTCTGCTGAGCTACCTCCCTACTTGCCCCTACAGGTTGTTTTTCTACTTAACATAATTTGAGATTTATTGATGTTTTACATTGTTCATTTATTTTTGTAGCTACATGGTAGTTCATTCTACTAATAGCATACTAGTGTTAATGAATTTGTTTTCTTATCAGTGGGTCTTCTGAGTTATTTCTAATATTTTTCCACTGCAAGCAAATCATTCATAACTATACTTATTTTTAACCTATATTTACTTATATTGTTACCAATTTAATAAAATTCCCCCTCATTATCCTTTTTTTCTTCTGTCTGCATTGCAGGGGATGAAACTTGGGTCTTCTGCCTGCTAGAGAGGTACTTTACCACTGAGCTGTACTCCCAGCTCCTCCCACCCCACATTTGGATGCTGGGGGTTGCACCCAGGCCACTAAGCACATGTTGTACCACAAAGCCCCATTCTCAACCCTCTCATTAGTTTTTTTAGTTTGTTTGTTTTGAGACATGATCTCACTATGTAATCCAGACTGGCCTCCAACTCCCAGCAATCCTCCTGCCTGGCTCTGTAATCAAACACAAACTGAAGTTTTATGTTTGTCATGGCTTAAGCCACTTGATGAAGTGGTCATGCATGTACCACCCGACAGTGGGATATCAGATTCAAATCAAAGCCACCCAGCAGTGAGACAGAGAATTAAGGAGCACTGGCTGATGATGTTTGTTCTAAGAGGCCCTGCCCTACTTCTCAGCTGTCTGAGATAACTGGGAGACAGTGTTTGTTTTTGTGGTACTGAGGAGTAAACCCAGAGACATTACTACTGAGCTACTACTCAGCCTTTTTCATTTTATTTGTAAATTTTGAGATGGGATGTTGCTGAGTTGCCCAAGCTGGCCCAAAATTGTGGTCCTCCTGCCCCACCTTCCCAAGTAGGTGGGTTTACAGAGGGGCACTACCATGCCCAGAATGATAGTGTTTTAATGAAAGTGTATCCTGGGGGAAAAGAATGGGCAGCCATCCTGTCTGGTTTGAAATCATTTCCTCTTACTTCTGTTTGTAATGTTTACTCAGTATAGATGTAATGGAGTATTCGATGCCTTCAGAAATATTTACTGGCTCAGTGTGGTAGCTTGTAGTAGCCTTCAGGGAGGGGCAGTGCCTCAGATAACCACCAGGCTGATGCCACGGGAGCCTGTGGTACTGAGGGAGTTCAGGCTGGGGATGTGGGGGCAGCATCATGGAAGATATAGCCTTGGAACATAAACTCTTGTGGGACTTGGCGAAGGTGAAAAAGGAGGTGAATGTGGAAAGGAGGAGTTTTTAAGGCAAAGAAAGCTACGTTGGAAAGCATGGGATGTGTAGAATGGGGGAGGACAGAAGAGAGCTAGACAGTTGCAAGAGATGTGAACTGGCCTGACCGTGCAGAGCCTTGTCTAGATCTGAGTAAGGATCGTGCTTTCATGGGGGGATCTCAATGTTTCTGTAAAAACTAGCCGCTTGGCCAGGATTGAGACATTTGGATTCATCCCAAGAAATGGGAAGTATTTGACAGTCTCCCTTTTGCTTGAGAGAGAACAGCCCCAGGCATTTCCAGGTCATCTTCCAAAGCCCTCCTGGGTGGTAATAGTTCATTTTCTGACCATGAAGAGATCACCATCTGACCATACTGAGAGTTAGGTATGTGACCCACTTCCTTCACCAGGCCAGCAAGTTGTCTTCTCCAGAGATTTGGAAAGTGTGAAGGGTCCTTCTAAAGCACTTAGAGGAAAGTGGTATTTACGATGCTGGGCCTTGAGGCAGGAGATGACCAGGTAACTCCAATATTATTTTCATCATTGGATAGCCAGGTATTCATCTTCTGTTCAGTGCTTGGCAAGCCATAGACTCTGCCTTGTGCTGTCCTAGTGTGGTGGAAGGAGCCTAAGAATTACTCAGTCCAAATCCTTATTTTTCCAGGGGCAACCAGAAGTCAAGAGTAGTTATCCAGGCATGGCGCCACTTGACTGTAATCCCAGCACTTGGGAGGCTGAGGCAGGAGGATCCTGAGAGTTTGAGACCAGCCTGGGCCATGTAGTGGGTTCAAGGCCAGTTTGGCCTATATAGCAAGACTGTCTCAAAAAAAAGAGTAGCAAGCCCCTTGTTCACCTTTACATATGGCACCGGGTATGGGCAGAGTTTGGTCCACTCTGGCTTGCTGGCCCTGTCAGCGTTACTGTCTTCCCAAATCTCTTAACTACCTATTGTAATTTGCTTTAGGAAGGATACCTTAATCTTGTGAAGTACATCAGTAAATTTTTTTAAAATTTTTTTTTTCCTTTTTATCGGTACCAGGGATCGAACTCACGACTGCCTGCTTGCAAGGCAGGTGCTTATGCCGCTGAGCTAAATCCCCACCCCCCACATCAGTAATTTTTTGACCAACTTTCAGATGCAGAATTTCTGTGTTGGGGATGCCAGTCCAGGGGTGACCCTCCCTTGATTAGGTGAGGGACATCCTGTGCAGTGTGTCTCCTATAATCCTAGAACCGGGTCAGCCCCACCAAGGCAGTATGGCCAGGCGGTGTTTAGTCTGTGGTGTGGAGAGAGCACTGTTGGACGGCCCCAGCACATGCCGCACTCCAAGTGAGTTGACTGTGAGCTAGCTGCTGCTACCTCTCTGGATGCCAGTTTTCCTTGTCTGTGACTTGGCAGTGGATAGTAAGGCCCACCACACAGCGTTAGCAGAAGCACTCTTGTCCCTGGTGTACTTCATACCCACAGGCAGTAAAGGTGAGGGGTTACTGTTGCTGTCATTGTCATTATTAGGGCAGCGTGGACATTCTCAGGCTGACTCTCCAGCACGAACTGACAGGAGAGGAACTTGAAAACATAGCCCAGAAGGTACTGAGGTTTCTGGTGGGAGCCATTCTCCTTTCCTGCTGCTGATGCTCACCCCAGTGCTGCCTAGCGCCACCTCTGCTGCCGCCAGCTTGGAAGCGCTGAAGATGCTTCTGGCTGAGCTCTATTGTGTGTTGCTTTCTGGGGCAGGGAGATCCCTCACTAAAACTAAAACTATAACTAACCTGCAGTTTCTACTAATGCTCGCCATCAGGAACAGCAGTTCTTGATACTATGTGGTTTTTGTTAGAGGTTCTCAAGTGAGTTTTTGGAGAGTAAAATCAGACTAATGCTTCAAGTCTTTCACGGGGCATCAGGGCAGGAGCTCTGGTTTGCCAAGTAGTTTGTGAGCCACTGTCTCTCTCTGGCAGGCGGGCAGGAAGACCTTCGCCATGGTGTCTGGCTGCTCAGCTGGTCATTCTCTGGCCTCAGAGCTGGTGGAGTCCAATGATGGACATGAGGAGATCATTAAGGTAAGTTCCGCTCACCTCGCCATTTTCTCCTTCTTTCTTCCTCCAAACACTTGAGAGAGAGCAGCTGAACTTTGCCAAAGGGAAACTGCAGTTTGACTAGAATCAGCCAGATCAGGGATGCTGGTTCCTGCCCATCTTCTGGAAGGATCTTAGTATCAGAAGGCCACAGTTGCCTGTAGTGGCACTGGTGCAGTCTGACCCTGGGGAGTGGGTATGGATGGAATGACTTTTCTAGATGCCTGTCCACTGTGCCTGTTCTCAGCTCTGGAGGTGATAGACATGGCTGGGAGATGGATTTGTGGAATTTATTTTTATCCAATGTGTGTGTGTGTGTGTGTGTGTGTGTGTGTGTGTGTGTACTGGGTACTGAATCCAAGACCTCACACATGCTATGTCCACAGCCCCTTTTTAAAGTTTATTAACTTTTCAAACTTTATTTTGAGATGGCTCTCCGTAGTTGGCCAGACTGACCTCAGACTTGTGACCCTGTTGCTTCAGCCTCCCAAGTATCTGGGATTATAGATGTGTGTTACCATGCCTGGCTGTGGAACTCACCTGTAGAATAAGGAAAACCTTTTAGCCAGTATGGTGATTCTCACCTATAATTCTGGTACTTGGGAGGCTGAGCCAGTAAAATCACAAGGTTGAGGCCAGTTTGGAACTACATATTGAGGCTCAGCCTCAAAACAAACAAAACATCCATATACACCAAAACATCTGTATAAATAAATAAATTTACTTATATATTAAATTTATTTATTATTTTATTTATTACAATAAAATTATTTATTAAAGTAAATTTAAAATGATTCTTGTTATTTCTTTTTAAAATTTTTTTTATTTTAAAGAGATTAAGACAAAAGAGGACATAACAAAGCAGATCAGAACAATTTAAGCAACACAGTATTTCACAAGACAACCTGATATAATAGTAGCTACCATAATGTCTCTTTCTTTGAAATAGTTGAGCATACCTTCATATACAGTAGTATCAAACATAACAAAATAGTATAAAACCATTCAAGAGAATGAAAGTATTATAGGGCATTCAGAACCAAATAACAGAAAATGAGCAATGGCTACTATATTATCTCATTGTCCATAAAAAATTTTTCTTACACTATTATACATAATAAAATCCGATAAGATACAACCTTTATTATGTATGTATGTGATACTGGTGATTGTACCTAGGATTTCACACGTGCTAAGCAAGTACTCTATCACTGCAGCTGATAAGTACTCCCCAGCTGCAAGGCATCTTCTTTTTTTTTTTTTTTAAAGGTGGAGCTCAGAAATTGAACTCCTGGTCTTAGCACGCACTGGGCAATATCCTTAGCCCTTATTTCTTTTTTTTTTTTTTTTTTTTGTCTTTTTGCTTTTTATCGATACCAGGGATCGAATTCACGACTGTCTGCTTGCAAGGCAGATGCTTATGCCACTGAGCTAAATCCCCAGCCCCTTATTTCTTTTTAAAAAGTATCATTTTGGGTGGGGATTTAGCTCAGTGGCTTAAGTGCTGCCTTGCAAGCACGAGGTCATGAGTTCGATCCCCGGTTCCCAAAAAAAAAGTATCATTTTTGAGATATAATTCAAATGCTAGATACTTGACCCAGTTAAAGTTCAGTTGGTTTTATAGTCAACACTTTTTTTTAACTTTTAAATTTGTGATAATTTTATTTTACAGAGAAGTAGCAGTAATAACAGAATATTCCTGTGCCTGGCACTCAGCTCCTCCTCATGGTGATGTGCTCGTAGTATTTGCAGTACATCACATTATTTTTTTCTTTTTTCTTTTAAAGAGAAAAAGGAAAAAACAGAAAAATCAAGAAACAAACTAACCTAAACAACAACATCATCAACAAAATAACAATAGCTATGTAGGTTTTCAAAACAAGATGATAGGAATTTAACAATGGTTGTTATACTGCATTCTGTTATCTTCCAAAGAGTTGCTCACATTACCAGATACAGAAATGAAACAAAACAGTAAAACAGAACAAAACATTGAATTTCAAAAATAAGACAGAAGGCAATCCCCACAGTTGCCACAGTACACACTGCCATCCTCCAAATAGATGCCCAGGTCACCAGCCCCAGGCCTGCAAAGTCAGTCAAACAATACAAGTGTCAGGCTCTTCCTTCCACCTCAGGTGCTATCCTCTCCCCTGAGTCCTCTGTCTTGCTGAGTCTCTTCCTGGTGCCCATGGCGATCTCCGTGGCGGAGCCCGGCACATGGGAAGGTGTGGTTCATCTTCTTGCTCAGTGTCCTGCTGATTCCCATGGTGGCCACACTGTGTTATTTTTAACTCTTCTGATCTGAATCACTAGTCAGTTGGTAATAACAATGTACTTTCATTCCACCAGTATGTGAGGCTGTGTGTTTACATGAATAAATTTCCCTAGATGTTGCTTAACTAATCAGTGTTTTCCCCATTTCAGGTGTACCTGAAGGGAAGATCAGGAGATAAGATGATTCATGAAAAGAGTGTTAACCAGCTCAAGAGTGAGGTCCAGTACATCCAGGAGGTGGGCACACCTTCCCTATGCTACTTTTCTAAACATGACATTTTGGAAGTTCTCTTCTTTTATAGGTTCTTTTTTCTCCTTTATTTTTGTAATATTGAAGTGCCATTGCAACCTCTCATGTGTCATAGATTCTTTTCTTATTTATTTATTGTCTTTTTGAGACAGGGTCTCCCTATGCATCTCAGGATGGCTTTGAACTCATTTTGTAGCTTAGGCTGGTCTTGAATTCATCCATGATCCTCCTGTTTCAGTCTCCCAACTGCTAGGATTACAAGCGTGCTCCACCAAGCCCAGTTCATAGATCATTCTTGATCCTTTGAATCCACTCCATTAATCAGTGAGTGCTTATTAATTGCCAGCTGCCAACACACTTCCAGCTTTGCACCAAATACCTTATTGTCAGCCACTTTCCCCATGTCACAGCCCCTCCCTGGCTACATTTCTCCTTGGCACTTCTTTTTGTTTTTTGTTTTGGTACCAGGGACCAAACTCATAGCAGCCACTGAGCTGAATCCCTGGCCTAAATGCTGTCATCAGAACAGATCTTTTTGAACTTACAACCCCGCCACCAGAGCCAGGCAGGCACTTAACACCACTGAGCTAAAACCCCGGCCTGGCACTTCTTCCCACATAATATGCCACACATTTTCCTTACTTGTCCTTTGTGTTGGGCATTAGTACTACCAGGGCAGGGGGTTCATTTATTTTGTTATTTGTATAGGAGCAGCTGGGCCATTGTCCCATGTGACTCTTCAGCCAGCCTCATGGCGGCATGGACTAGGCATGGGGATGGGACACAAAGGTTGTTCCCTTTCCTACTCTGAAGCTCAAACATCATGTCCTTCCCCCTCCCCCAGGCTAGGACCTGCTTGCAGAAGCTTCGGGAAGATATAAGCAGCAAGCTTGACAGGGATCCAGAAGACTCTGTTCATCAACAGGAACTACAGGTAACAAGGAATGGTGTGGAATCCAGCACCATGCCAGGAAGCAAGGGGATGGTAGGTGGTGCTGGCTTCTACCAGAGTGTGTAACCTGGTTGGGCCCCCAACAGGTTCATGCTTGCTTTACACTTATCAGCCACTATATTACTGCAACTGTTTCTGGAACATTGCTCAAAATCAATCTTTTAAAAGTCATGTTATTATAAGTTATTGGAAAAATTTAGTATTTTTTTTTTAAGACAGGAACTCGGAGCCAGGTATGGTGGCACTTGCCTGTAATCCCAGCACTCAGGAGGCTGAGGCAGGAGGATTGCTTTTGAATTTGAGACCAGCTTGGACTACCAATTGAGTTCAAGGCCAGCCTGAACTGCATAGTGAGACCCTGTCTCAAAAAGACAGAAAAAAAAAAGACTGGAACTTGCTTTGTATTTCAGCCTGGCCTTGAATATACTATGTAGGCCACAAACTCCCAACATTCCTCTTACCTCAACCTCCCAAGTGCTGGGATTACAGGCGTGTGACACCATACCCAGTAAAACCTTTTATCTGTAAGGATTTTGTGATCAGTGTTCTAGTAAGACAGTCACAGAAAGTAGAAAATAACCTGTACATCCAAACTTCTAGTAAGCCCATCATGCTAAATTTGGGTGACACCTACTAATGTAACTGAAGGCTTAGTCCTCACCTGTGGTTCATTGTGTGTAGCTGTCTTTACTCTTGAGTTGAGAAAATCCATGAACTACAGGTTCATCACTTTGTCTTTGTATCCCTATGCCTGGCCCAGGGTATGAGATACAGAAGGCATCAGTAAATGTGAGAAATAACAGACTGGATAAATCTTAACTGAAAAGGATAATCTACCATCTTGCTTTTTAGCTTTTCCAGATTTCGAGGATGACAGCGTCCTCAGTAGAGTGGAGTTGACTCTTGGTCAGTCAGTGGATCCTTCTCATACTCAGAGCTGTGTCTGCTTCCCTTGTATTTTGATGTGGGCAGGCTGGTCCTTCTCTAGCAGCCCTTGTCCCCATTCAGTGTGCAGGAGGGAGCTGTGGCCTACCAGGGGGTCAGGAAGCACCTCTCTCTGGCAAGCATGCACAGTGGCCTTTCTTTCCCTGATTGATTTCACTTTGGCTGCAGGCAAGACATGCGGTGTTTGTTCTCTTCTCTGGCTCCTGGGAGGTGCCTCCTCAGGTACTGGAGACCAGCCGGCCCCTTGTTTGCACAGAAGGTCATAGAATGACTGATCAGACTCTGAGTTGGAAAATAATTATAGCAAAAGCTGCTTCCCCTTTTGATTTATGCTTGTCAAACCTTGTCAGGATCCTCATAGGCAAGAGAAACACTGGCAGGCAGCTGCTTGTTTTCCTAGGAGGAATGGGCCTCACGTATTTTCCAATCTGCTGAAAGTTTTGGTCTGAGATCTCTTTGTCTCTCCTCGCAAGGTTAGAGAATCACCTTTCTGGGCCAATTCCTCCCCTTCTGGCTTCCTTCCCGTGGAGCACTGGAAATCTCTGTCTCCCTTTTCCTCTTTCCCTTTCTCCCTTCTTTCCTTTAACTCTTCTTCCTTCTTCCCTCTCTTCACTCCCTGTTTACATTCCTTCCCTCCTTCCTTTCCTCTTCCCTCCCTTCTGCCTCTAATCTCCTTTTAACCTTCATGTTTCCTTCCCTCTTCTCCCTTTCTCTTTTGCTCTAAGAGTAGAAGTCTTAAGAATATAACAGTTTTGGCGTTGGTTGCTTGGTTGCTTAGTTAGATTGTCTCAACTGTCACTTTTGTTTTTCTGTGCATAGGTGGTGCTCGAAAAGCCCAATGGCTTTAGTGAGGGTGCTGTGACCCTGCACAGCAGGCCACCTGAGGTAGGTAATGGGGAGACACATTGATGGCTGCTGTTTGCCCAGGGCAGGAGCTCCTGCTCCCTAATCTCTCTCTCTCTTTTTTTTTTTTTTAAACTATCTCTCCTGCTCACTCTAAGAGTAATACGTGGTGTTAAAATTCAAACAATAGGTAAATAAAAATGGAAACGCCCTTCCCCTTAGCCCTGCTTGGCAGACTGAAGTGGGTGGTAGATCCTTCTAGAGCTGTGCCTTGGCCTCAGTTGCTCATTGCAGTGACCTTGGGGGCTGTAAAGACAGGATTCTGAATCCCATCTGCAGAGATCATCACTGTTTGGAGATATGACTTGGGCATCAAAACTTTTAAATGCTCTTCAGAGTGCCCTATGCCTGTAATCCCAGAACCCTTGGAGGTTGAGATGAGACAGCCATAAGTTCAAGGCCAGCCTGGGCAATTGAACAACTTAGTGAGACCCTGTCTCAAAATTAAAAAGGGCTGACGAGGTAGCTTAGTACAGAGGCCCTGTGTTCAAGTCCCTTTGTGTATGAGAAAAACACACAGAAGCTCTTCAGATGTTTCTAAAGTTTAACCAGAATTCAAAACCTATATTTTTTTCTCTATTCACAGCTACTCATGTATAAATACATGTGTATTAAACATACCATATGCATAAATTTATATACTTTTCACAAATATAAGACCCTGATAAATACATCATTCCTTGCTTGCTTTTACGTTTTTCAACTGAAGAGTATCTATAGCTTTTTTTCTGTCTTTGTACCTATAGATTTTGTTCATAAACACACACACACACACACACACACACACGTATATCACATATATTTTTTTTTATGGTACTGGGGATCAAACTCAAGAGTACTCTACCACTGAGCTATACCACACCCCTTTTTTATTTTTCAGTTTGAGATAGCATCTTGCTAAGTTGCTCAGACTGTTACAGGAGCGCCCACTGCTCCTGGGTACACCATTCATTCATTCATTCATTCATTCATTTGTTTAAATAACTGCATGGTATGTCTTCCATGGCTATACTTTTTTGACAACTTTGTTTTCATTTTTGCATTGCTGGGGATCAAACCCAAGGCTTCACACATGCTAGGCAAGCACTGTGCCATTGAGGCACATCCTAGCCCCCATGGTTATTTTCTAAAAATGATATTTGTTAGGGTTTAGTTATTTATTTGGTGTTGGTAAGTGAGCATTTTACACATAGGCTCCATGGCTGAGATCCACTCCCAAGCCAAAGGCTATTTTGTGGGTTAGATGTTTACCCTCAAGTGTGAGTTGTGTCTATCTACCCCCACGTCACGGCGCATCGCATGCAGCCTGGATTTCATGTAGACCTTGTGATAATTTCACTATTTTTTTTCTCCTCCTCATTCACTCTTACATATTCAGCATATGACTTTAAATGTGGCTATAGATGTTTTTGTGTATGTGATGGACATGTGCTATATTCTTTTTCTTTTGTACCCAGCACCATGTTTTTAGGCTCCATTTATGTTACAGTATTAAAATCTAGTTTGCTATTTCTAGCTCTTGATTTGTATTGTATCTTATGATGAAATAACTTCATGAAAATTTTTCATGTCATTAAATACTTACAAGAACACCATTCAAATCAGGATATCATAAATATGTTCTAGGAGCCTTTTAAGTATTTTCACCTGTTCAGCCACTTGGGCGAGAATATAGGGGAATTGACAAGATAACTTATCTGTGGAATCCGAGGGCTTAAATGTTGTGATTCTAACACTGGCCTTAGACATGCAGTTTGGATTTTTCCTCCGCTCTGCAAGCACCATGCTCCAGAGTGAAGGCCTTGCTGCTTCCTGCTGTGTAAGCCGGAATCGTGGCATCTTCTGGAAATGGGGAGGGGTGAGACCCTGCACCTCAGCTCAGCCCTGACCTGAGGCTGGGTGAGACACTGGGCAGTGACCTTGATTGAAACTTAGGATTCTCGGGGCTGGGGTTTTAGCTCAGCAGCATAAGTGCCTGCTTTGCAGGCAGGCAGTCGTGAGTTCGATCCCTGGTACCGAAAAAAAAAAAAAGAAACTTAGGATTCTTGTTCTCCTTAGGCGCTTTTGTCCCAAATCTGTCCACCTGTCAGTAACCCTGTACGTGCCAATCTCTGTGCGAGGTGCTAAGGATGGGAAAAGATGAGTCATTGTGCCACTGCTGTCCTGTGCTGGAGGAGAATAGATTTCAGCCCAAAGGAGAACATAGTTCTTACCCTGAGACAGCTGTAGTCTGATGGAGGGAAAACATACACATAAAGACCACATGCATATACCTATTAAGAAGTCAGCCCGTTGATCAGTGTATAAAAAAATGACTGAGTGTGTCCTTAAAAAAAAAAACTGGGTGATTTAAGGCTTGCCAAGTTCTTCAGGGTATGAAGGAAGAATATCTTCATGAGAGTAACTGCTTAAGACTAGCTGTCTCTTCTGTGATGTTAATTCTCTGGTGAGGCCTGTCCCACAGATGACCCAAACCAGCATGTGACAGGGAGGGGATCTTCTCTTATGAAGTCATAAACGTGGTGGCGTCACCTTGCCCTCCCACTCTGGTTGTAGGCAGAGACCTTTGTAAATGACGACATTGAGAGGTTAAGAAAAGATGTGCAGGACTTGCTTACCAAACTGCAGGAGGCAGAGAGGCGACACCAATCAGACCGTGTGGCTTTTGAGGTAAGATTTGAGAGTTTGGGGAAGAGGCACCCCCAGGGATTGGCTACTGGATAAGGTGCCAGAGACTTGCTCAGCATGGACTCCATACTTTTTTGGCTGAGTCCCACCAACTCCAAAGGCAACACTTCGTGGCCTGTGGCACTTGCTGTGTGCTTTTCCTTCTGAACATTTAGAGTGTTCATGTCCCAGGTCTCGCTCATAGTTGAGAGTTCTCTGCTCTGCTGAGGTGGAGCAGTAGTACTGGCCTTAGGCGGCGGGTAATTCAGAAGTCATTTTGGAACTCAAGGTGTAGCTCAGTGGCAGAGCACCTGTCCAGGCCGCTCCAGCCCTTGGCTCTGAGCTTGCTGGGCCACCCACACACAGGAAAACATTTCTGTGCATACTGTGATGAGCACCACTGAGCTCCAAGGCTGTCTGTAGACCAGAGCTATCACTGCTGTACCACCGAGTTCCAAGTATCTGGCAGAATGTCTGGCGTAAGGTAGATGTTTCCTAAATGTGAACTGGGGGTGTGGGCACATTGTCATGGAACAGTATCTGTGGAATCCGAGGGCTTTGTGGTTTGGAGCAAGTGTCTTAATTAATTATTATTACAGTTTTTTCCCCCGGTACTAGGGATTGAACCAGGGCCTTTGTACTAAGCTATACCCCTAAACCTTGCCTGCTGTCTTCTTTCCTTCCTTCCTCCCTCTTTGCCCCCTCCCCTTTCTTTCTTTCAGATAGGTATTTCTAAGTTGCCCAAATTGGTGCTCTCCCTGCCCCAGGGTCTTTCTGTGTATTTTAGATCAGCCTTGAACTTGCCATGTAGCCCAGTCTGGTCTCTATTTCATGATCCTCCTGCCTCAGCCTCCTAAGTGCAGAGGAGGCCATTGCTTCTGGTTTACAGTTCAGTTATTTTAAAAAGTAATACTAGATTACTGTGGGAAAGTAATAAAAATACAGACGTCTACACGTAGTGAAAACCCCCTTCTGGCGAGAGTATGTGAGGTCCTCCGTACTTCCTAGAAAATTCTTTGAATATAAAACAACATACACTGGGTAGTTACCTTACTACTCTGTTTCCTGACTTTGTTCATCCACAAATAAAGCATTTTTATGTCATACATATGTTATGATAGGGTTGTTCCTTGTCTACCCATGCTGGGAGCAAGGGGAGGAGGAAGGTGTCCGTGGCTCTGAAGCCAGAGTGTGCTCGTACTGCAGCAAGTCAGCAACAGGTAGGAGGGCACCTGTCTCCCCTCTCTCACCCCCTTCCTCTGCTAGTACAGACTCGAATCCAGGCCTTGTGCTTGCTTCGTCACTGAGCTGCATCCCCAGCCTTTTTTTGATTCTTACTTGGAGGCAGAGCCTCACTAAATTGCCCCGGCTGTCCTTGAACTTTTAATCCTCTTGCCTCAGCCTCCCAAGCAGCTGGGATTATAGATGTGCACCTGGCTTTAACCCTGTGGTGAGCAGCAACACCTAGAGTAGGAGGTGCTGAGGTGCCCCATGGCTGTTCCAGTGTTGGTGCGGGTCAGCTCACCAGCTTGGAATTAAGAGGTTGATTTGTGGGTAGAGTTGGCTGAAGCTATAGCTAGGGAAAGGGAATCTGTATTTTTCCTTGTATTTTTTATACCTTTGTGATTCTCCAATGAGGGTTTTGAGGTTTGAACCATGACCCTGTTAACAGTGTGCACTGGGCACACATCAACCTGGTTGCAGTTTTTCTGTGCTGAGATCAGAGACCTTTTGCTTTTAAGTTTCTACCCATGGAGTTGGCCTACTTCAGGTTATTATTGTCCTTTAAAAAAAAAAAATGGTCTCAGTAGATATTCCAGGCTGGCCTTAAACTCACTGTTTAGCCTGGGGTGGTCTCAAACTCCAGGGATCTTCCTGCTTCAGCCTCCTAGAGTGCTGAGAGTATAGCTGCATGCCACCCTGCCCAGCTAATACGGGTTAATTGATAGTGTTTCTTAAGCTGTCCTGGGGAGTTGAACCTTTTGGTGCATTTTTTTGAACCTGAGGGAAGAAAGGGAATGATCATCAGTTACCATGAAGATAGCCTGCATTAAGCTTGGGTTTCTTATTCCACTGGCTGTTTGCTGTCAGGAGGAATTTGGGGTGAATTCGCTCTGAATGCACCCCTTCACCTGCCATGCTGTGCTTTGTTCTCTCCCTCATCCTGATGCTAGGAGGAGCCAGACACATGGGCTGCCGGCATCAGCTTTCCCAGGGCTGTGCAGGTTTTTCAGAGGTTACTGGACTCTTTTACCAAATAATTCAGAGTCAGTGCAGGTAGCAAGTATTTGGAAGCAGTGGAATGGGCACTGAAGTAACTGCGTGGTAGTGTTGGCACTGAACAGTGCGGTTAAACCTTCTTTGCTAAAAGGAGAGGATTGGCCTGAACGAACATGGGTTTCATTCTCAGCCTTGTTGAACAGTTGCTGTTCCCGAGGCACCATGGGAACTCGTGTGCCTGAGGCTGTGCGGTCGGGAGCCTTCATCTGCTCAGGTGTGCATATAGGAGCCTGAGCAACATCAGGCAAGTGCTGTAGAGGGAAGGACTGTGTCGTCCAAGGACTCCTTCCCAGACATGGAGCTAAGTAGGACTTGGTGAGACACGGGTGGGAGGAAACTTTACTCTCTTATTCTAACATTTTGCCTCCAGGCTGGGGAGGTAGCCTGGTGGTAGAGCACCTGCCTAGCAATGCACAATTCCCAAAACCGTAACAAATGTAAAGTTCTGCTTCAGTCTTCCAAATTGGCTTCTCCTATCTGATAAAAGATAAATTATGCCTGTACTGAAAACCCTTCTAGAATGCTTGTTATCCTTTGTTCTTAAGCTCTATGTTGCTCAATGTGAGGGTGAAGAAGAGTTGGGAAAGTAGAGGATACATCCTCCCCTGGGCTATTTGCTTTTGAGTTAATAGGAAAGCCACAGTGTCGGGTACCGTTTGGGTGACACTGGAAGATTCCTACGGATGCTGAAGAAGCCAGCCTCCTACAAAGTGATGCTTGTGGAGTCCAGGTGTCACTTTCACGTGGAGCTGATGAACTGCCTGTGCTCGGTAACCCTGGAGATGGAGTCAGCCTGCATGGGTCCTCCAGGGGCTCTAACTGGGCCAAGAGATGCTGATGTGCTTGTCAGAGGTGCCTCCTTTCACCCATCATGGCTCCAGAGCTACCCTGGAATCTTGAATTCTGTTCTAAGTTTTTAAATCATGTTTGCTTTTTCCCCCTCCACTGAAAACATGCCTATCCTGCGTCATAGGTCACACTGGACTGCTACCAGCGAGAAGCAGAACAGAGAAATGTCGCGCTTCGGAGAGAGGAGGACAGAGTGGAGCAGAAAGAAGCAGAAATCAGAGAACTGCAGAGGCGCGTGCTGGCCATGGAGATGGTAAGGGCCCCATTTCAGTGCATAGGTTCGGGGTCTGGAAGGGACCTAGGATTGGAGGAAATATTGAGGCCATCCTCGGGGAGCTCAATATTTCTCCTTTTCCAAAAAAAGCACACTTCACAGCTCTGGTGCATCCTTTTTTTTTGGTTCATTTTTTGTGTTTTGTTTTATTTTGAGACAGGATCTCACTATGTAGTGCAGGCTGGCCTTGAACTCACTTATATAACACAGGCTCGAACTCATGGTAACCCTCCTTTCTCAGCCTTCTGAAAGCTGAGCTCACAGGCATGTGCCACCACACCCAGTGTTAGCATGTCCTTTTGAATATGCTTTATGCTTTAAGACATGGGAAGTTCTTTCCATTATCCAGTGTCAGTTACCCCCTAACTGACATCTCCCCATCTCCTTTAGTTCATTTCTTACACAGGTGCCTTTTCAGGCTCCTGAAGACTGTTCCCTAGAAGCCACTCTGCCTGGTGTCTCTGGGGCTGGCTGCCGAGCTGGCAGGTGGGCTTGCATAATACCAGACCAGGCTCTCCCTCCGGGCAGCTGGGCGAGGCTGGGAAGTTGCTGTGTGCTGGGGGTAGAAAGGGTTATCCCTGGCAGGGGAGGGCACCCCATCAAACTAGCTTGGCCTGCCACTCTTTGGCAGCTGTCCCAGGCCTGGTAGGGGCTGAGCTCCAATCCTAGTGCCCATCTCACCCCAACACACAAGCTCTTGCTATCTGCTCAACTAGATGTCCTTTCCTTTGTCCACCAAGGAGCATCAGGCCTTACTGGTGAAAGTCAAAGAAGGGGAGATGGCCCTAGAGGAGCTCCAGAGCAAGAAGGCTGACTGCCTAGCTGAGCAGGAAAAGTAAGTACCTTTGTTCATGCTGAAGTTGGGGGTTCAGGGAGGACAGGGCAAGCTGTGTAACCTGCAGCTCCCACAGCGACCAGGCCTGGGGAGAAAGTTGGTGCTGATGTCAGATATTCCAGCTGTGACTCACAACATGCTTGCTCAGGGTGGGTCCCCACCCAGAAGATACTGTTTGGAAGGCCGCCATCCTCTGGGAGCTCGTTTCTCCATGGGCTATGACCCTAAGAAAAGTTTTTTATGCTTTTAGAGCCAAGTGGTAGAGCACATGCGGATCCTCTGGGCGGGTCTCCCTGTGGTTCCTTCCCTTAAAGCAGAACCATGCAAGCTCCTCGAGGGCCACAGAACTTTCTTTCCAGTTTTGTGCTGAGGAATGAACCACTTCATGAGGACTTCCTGTCACAATTCAGATAGAAACTGAGAACCCCTCCCTGCTGTGGTATTTATAGGATCCCTGAGCTCTTCCTGCTTCCAAGGTTAGGGGTTTACACATTGCCTCTGAACAGAGGGGACAAGTGGAACCTACAAAGGCTTGCCTTGTCAGTCTTCAGGAATTTGGAAATCCCTTAACTATTGGCAGTTAATAAATAAGATCTCAAATAGTAAATTAATTTTGTCAGCATTTTATAAGCTGGACATTGTTTGGGTTCAGTAAACTTTATCTGAAAGGCCTTCTAAGAAATTCTAAAATTAACAGACACAATCAGAAATCCTCAGGGGATATTTTCATTTTGGAATAACGTAGATTTGGCTTTCCTGGCATGGAAAATGCACGTATTTTATTGTAACCTTCTTTCTGATTTAACTTTGTATCAGAATTACTTTAAATTATAGTTGGATTTATTTGTGGATTCCACATCTGCAGATTCAACCAACTAGAGATTGAAATGTACTGGGAAAAAAACCTGCATCTGCCTGAGCATGGTGACATATACCTATGATCCTCCCACTCTGGAAGTCTGAGGCAGGAAAGTTGCAAATTCAAGCCTACTTTGGGGGAATTAGTAATTTAATGATACCTGTCTCAAAATAAAAAATGAAAAAGGTCCTAAGGAGATATCTCAGTGCAAAAGCTGTGGATTCAATTCCCAGTACCCCAGGGATTTAGCGTCAGCGGCATAAGCGCCTGTCTGGCAAACACAGGGTTATGAGTTTGATCCCCGGTACCAAAAAAAAAAAAGAAGATCTTACATTCAATTCCCAGTACCCCCAACCCTGCAAAAAGCATCTATACCAAATGTACAAATTTTGAAGGCGTCACTGTTTCCTAAACAACGCATTATAACAACTACTTATATAATACAGTATTTATATTGTTTTAGGTATTATAAGTAATCTAGGATTATTTAAAAATACATGGGAGGAGAGCTGGATGTGGTGGTGCATCCCACACTGTAATCCCAGCATTTGGAAGGCTGAGGCAGGAGGATCATTATGAGTTCAAGACCAATGTGAGCTCAAGGCCAGCCTGAACTGCATAGTGAAACCCTGTCTCTAAATAAATAAATAAGTAAATAAGTAAATAAATAAATAAATAAATAAAAAATGTATGGGAGGATACATACAGACTGTATGCAAGCACACCATTTATGTAAGGATCTGAGCATTTCTAGAGGTGCTGGCACCAGTCCCCCTTAGGTACTGAGGGATGATAATATTCAGCACTCCGTGTTTCTCTGTGCCAGAGGTGGACATGGAGGAGGGGGAAGGAGAAGGAGGTGGAACAAGAGGGAACAGACATAAAAATTCAGCCAAGCTTTGGGGGTAGCAGCTGATAGCTGGGAATCCTCAAGGCTGATTCCTAAACACAAAGAGACTAAGAAATAGGTCATTGGAGAGCTGAGAGTGGGAACTTAGAGTATTTGAAGTTTAGGAAGGATGTGAGGTGGCCCAGAATACACTGTTCCTCACCGACCCCAAGCACTGCCTACCCTCGGCAGGATGTACTTGTCAGCTTCCTTGGGCAGATCTGGGGAGTAATAGGCACCAGCAGTAGTCTTGGTCCAAACCCCTGGACACTCCTCGGAGTGGCCTGACGGAAGGAAATCTTCTGCTTCACAACACTGGTAACACCAGGCTGGAGGTTTCCACGCCAAGTGATTCTCTAGCTCTCCAACTTCAGTTCTGAGACTGATTACCAAGAGTTGGCGCAATCCCTAAAGGTGAAGGTTTGGTTCCATAAGAGCACCACCAGTTTAGATGCCAATCACAATTAGTTGACCCAAGGGTACACACACTTTTTTCCTACTTGGCTACAATTTGGGGATTTCTATAGTCAATTGGGTTTGATAAATTGCTGTAATGGCTCATAGAACTCAGCAAACACTTTACTTACATGACTCATTTATTATAAATGAGTAACAAATGAACAGACAGATGATGAGGTATATGGGGTATGGTCCAGGAAGGTTCAGGAGCTGCTGTCTCCAGGAAGCTAAGGTGTACCACCCTTTCAGTCCATGGATCTGTCTACCAACCAAGGAGCTCTCTGAACCTCTTATTTAGGACTGTCAGTAGCTGTTTAATTATGGAGCCGTGATTGAATTAAATCACTGACCACTGGTGATTGATTCAGTTGCCAACCCTTAACTCCTATTTCCTTCCCAGAGTTTGGGGCTGGGGCTGAAATCCCCAAACCTTTACTCATACCTTGGTCTTTCTGGGCATTATCCCACTCCATGAGGCCATTCATGGACCCATCCACCAGTGACTTTCCTAGCATACAGAAGATACTTCATTCCCAGAGATTCTTCCCTGCTAAAAGCCATTGCAGCTAGAGACTCCAAGGGTGCCTACACTTAGTTGGCTACAATTCGGGAGTTCCCACAATAATAATGTGCTGTAATGGAAGTTCTTGTCAGGAATTGTCAACCAAGACGAAATGTTATAATAAAACATGTCTCTATCACTCCTCTACTTAAAAATTTACAAGAATTTTAGGAATTCTGTGAGAAGCTGAGGACAGAGACCAAATATGTATTTTGTATTGGGAATCTTGGCTCAGTTTGCTTAGAATGCAAAGAAAGTAACAGTTGTTTAGCAAGCTTAGAAATAGAATTGTATGAAGAGGTTTTAAAGATCTTCAGATCTTATTTCTCTCAGAATATAAAAGCCTTTTCAGTAGCTTGATGATTTTGGATATAATAATCCCAGTTCTGATTTGACTCTTCCCAGTAATGACAAGCTCATTACATGTGCAGCCCTTTTTGTTTGTTTGTTTGTTTTTTGGTCTTTTTCATTTTTATCGGTACCAGGGATCGAACTCACGACTGCCTGCTTGCAAGGCAGGCGCTTACATCGCTGAGCTAAATCTCCAGCTCCATGCAGCCCATTTTCTGACAGCAATAATATTGAATTTTCCTGTGCTAATGCATCACCTGCCTTCCTGAAACATCTGCGTATTAGTACCTCTCCGTTCTGGTTTACCCCCTGGAGTTACCCGGAATGACTTGCACCTCCTAGCCTTTCAAGAGGGCCTTAACTCCTCGTGCTTTCCTTATTTGGACTAGATGACAGCTGGTGCTCCCGGCATTTTAGTCCAAGCGTCCTTCCAACCTATTCTTTAGGGCACACTGCAGGGGGATCAGATGGAGGCAGTCATACTTGGGGGACCCTCCCAAGTGCAAGGCTCTTCCTGTGACTGAGTGGAGAAGGGATCTTGTTTCTTTGCTTCAGCATTCTGGTCTTTATCTCCAGGTCTGTTGCCTTGGAAAAGGAAGTGGCGGGGCTGCGGGAGAAGATCCACCACCTAGACGACATGCTCAAGAGCCAGCAGCGGAAAGTCCGGCAGATGATAGAGCAGGTGAGCAGGGCCAGCTCCAAGCCTGCCCTGGGTGGTGCCCTTGCGTATCTGTTTTCCTAGGCAGCTTGGCTAACCATCATGTGTTTCCCATAAAACATTTATTGCTTCTAATTACTAGGGTTGGGGTTATGGAGATTTGCTTTTCATCTGTCTTTTTCCTACTCTGTTGGCTATTTGGCTTCCTGTTTTGTTTTGTTTTGTTTTGTTTTGTTTTGAGTCAGGCTCTTCCTACGTAGTTCAGGCTGGCCTTGATCTCTCACTGTGTAGCGAAGGCTGGCTTTAAAACCACTACAGCCCTTCTGCCTCAGCCTCCTGAACGCTGGGATTACAGGCATGCATTACCATAGCCATTTTAGGTTTGTACTTTCTGAAAGGAACAGAAAAGATTAATTTCTCTTACACTCTGAAGAGTCTGGTAAGTGAATAAGTGATTCATAATAAACTCAGTTATCTATATGTGGGTTATCAGTCTTTGTGCCTCATTATAAATTTTCCTGCCTACCCTATGTAACCTTCAGGGTCACACATTAAAGATATACCAATTGTAAAGCTGAGAACACCCCTGCCCTCGCAGTTCTTCATATTATTATTATTAGTTTTTTTTTTTTTTTTTTTTTTGATACCAGGGATTGAACTCATGACCTCCTGCTTGCCAGGCAGGCGCTGATGTTGCTGAGCTAAATCCCTGGCAATTCTTAAAATATTATGTTGGAATCGATTCTGCTTACTGCTGTTTTTTTTCCCCTTGTACTAGGAATTGAACCCAGAGTCGGGGCCTTACCACTCAGCTACATCCCCAGCCTTTTAAAAAATTGTTTGCTTTGAGACTGGGTCTCACTAAGTTGCTAAATTACTTAGGCTGGGTTTGAACTTGTAATTTTCTTTCCTCAGCCTACAAGAGTGCTGGGATTACAGATGTGTACTGCCATGCTCAGCTTCAGTCAATGTTTCTAGAATGAATTCATAATTTATATAGTCTAGAACCAAATGGAATGGATTTTGAATCATTCACCATGTACTTTAGGTTATCAGAGTGATGTTCTCCTCATACTGAGCTCTACTCCTGGGATTACCAAGAGCTTAATATTGTCTAAAATAAAAACTCATAGGCTAGCTTATGAAGTCCCTTGAAGGTTATGGAGCTCTACCTTCCATCTCTCCTGGCTTCCACAGCAGCAGGGTTAAGTTTGCTGAGTGTCTGAACGGAGTCATTGCAGAGTGAGCTCCAGAATAATCTCTATCATTGCAGCTGCAGAATTCAAAAGCCGTGATCCAGTCAAAGGATGCCACCATCCAGGAGCTCAAGGAGAAGGTTGCCTATCTGGAGGCTGAGGTGTGTATGCTGTGCTGCCCTGGCAGGGAACAGGGCTTTAAGAAGACCGGTTGTAGGGAGAAAGAGGTGAAGGAGGGTGCTTTGGTCCTGTTTCGCTGCTGCTTAGAAGGGAGTATTAGCAGTGGTTGCTCAGTGGACACTTTAGTTTAGGAAGCATTTTCTGAGAACTCTCAGGGGTAGTTGGAGTCTTTCTCATGGCAAGGGAATGGGATCAGTTAGCTAATGAGTTGCCTGATGTCAGATTTTCACTTTGCTACAGAGCTCACTCTATCCCTTGACTGCCTGAAGATCACTTTGCAGCCACTGTGTGATGATCCCTATGGTGGGGAGATAGGGTTGTTTATCTTTAGAGAGTATGTAATCTAGATCCAAAGATAAAATACATTAAGAAAAAAACAAAAACCTATTCTGGGCATGGTGGCACATGCCTGTAGTCCCAGTCCAGTAGGCTGAGGCAGGAAGATAACAGACTTAGCATTTAAGTAATTTAGCAAGACTGTGTCTCAAACTAGAAATATAAAACAAGGGCTGGGGAGGTAATCCTGGATTCAATGCAGATACTAGGGGGAAAAAGCCAAAGCAGTACTTAATAGTATCGTATATGGAAATGCATATAGCAGAGATACAGGAAATGATCACTGCTGCTGAGTTAGAAGAGAGCAGTCTGTGGTCTGGTGATGAGAGTAGAAAGCACCTGGGTAGTGGTACGCATCATAGATGCAGAGGTGGAGAGGTCGCAGGAGCTAAATAAACGTGACATGGATACCCATCATCTGTCATTCAGAATTTAGAGATGCACGACCGGATGGAACACCTGATTGAGAAACAGATCAGTCACGGCAACTTCAGCACTCAGACCTGGACCAAGACAGAGAACCTCGGCAGGTGAGTGCACATTTATAGAATGGGCTCAGCAGGAAAAAAGAAAGGAGGGTCAGAGCGGTGCAAGACCTTTAATGCCAAGGCAAGGACAAGACTCTTAGAAATCTAAAATCTAAATCTAAATCTAAAATCTAATCTAAATCTTTGCTTTTTCAGCTTTCGGTTGACCCATTTCCCACCAGAACCATTTTTAGCATACTTACAACTTGATATTGTGACGCCAACAAGGTGCAGGAGTGGACCTGGCCCTTGTGGGTTGTGAACCTTCTGCAATTGCATGCAAAAATATTTGTAATATTTTCATGCTGTAATAGATATGTGATCAGGGTGTAGTGGCGCACACCTGTAATCCTAGCACTTGGGGGCCTAAGGCAGAAGGTTCACTGTGAGTTCAAGGTCAGCCTAAACTACGTAATGAGACCTTGTCTCAAAACGTGTAATATCTGAATATTTCTAGAAAATACCTCTGTATTTTCACAGAAGGGTTCAAACAAAAAATGCAGACTCAGAGCTACCTGTGCTTCTCAGATGTTCAGCTGCCCCTCCTTTCTCCACCACTAGACAAGTATATCCTGCCCCAAATCTTCTCTGAGATGTACACAATGTAACTATTTCAAAGCCTTGGAACTCTAGAGATCAAGCTGCCCTGAAATGCAGGATTCTGGGGCTGGGGGTTTAGCTCAGCGGCATAAGCGCCTGCCTTGCAAGCAGGCAGTCCTGAGTTCGATCCCCCGTACCGATAAAAAGGAAAAAGACAAAAAAAAAAAAAAAAAAAGCAGGATTCTAGAGGCGGAGATAGCAGGGAGGCCTCCTGAAGGGTGGGCGATAACAAGCATTTGTATTTCCAATTTCTCTTTTAGTGTCCGGATAGCCAAGCCCCCAAGCCCTAAGCCCATGCCCCTCATCCGTGTGGTGGAAACCTGAGTTTGAGGCGATGGACAAGGACGTGGATGCTGCTGGTGCTGTCGCCTCTCGCCTGTGGAGAAGCCCACCACCCTACAGGATGTTAACACTGACTTTGACTTTTGGAATGTTCTCTGGCTGTGCCTGGGGCCCGGGGGCTTGCATGTCATGCAGGTCCCTAACTTCTGCCCTGTTTGCTGGGCACATGGAACATGTACACCTCCTCTGGGCTCTGCAGCCTTTGGGAGACGGTGTCCTGCGGGCAATGTCTTCTTCCCATAGTTGTATTTTTCTCTGTAGCAGAGCCTTCCTTTATTGTATCCTGGAATCCAGCTGTCCCAGAAGCCTGGCCCTCCTGTGGTTGGGAGAAGTGTCCAGATTTGTCTCAGCCCTAGAAGCCGGAGGCACAGATATGCAGAACGAGTGGTGTATGTCCTGAGGAATAGAGTTCCTTCTGCAAACACAGCTCAGCTCTCAGTAGTTTTTCACCCCTCCATCCGTACTGACCTGGGCCTCTTCCAGGCCTGGCTGGAGTCAGGGAACTAAACCAGCTGCAGACAAAGGAGCGTATGTTCACCCTGTAGCTTTTAACAGGACGATTTTCTGGGGCTGTGGACACTTACGTGAGACTTCTGTCTGCTGTGAAACTTCTCACAATCTTAGAATTTCCCCCTAAGTGCACCACAAGGCACACCTCAGTCTTCCAGACCCAGAGCATAAATACTATGTTTTTACTTAGTTACATCATTCCCAGCACAGCTCTCATTGTATTTATTTTGCTAAGTTATTGGTGTTTTTGCTTATATCTCATACTCATAATTGATTTCATACCAGAGTTCTGTAGTCTTCTCTTGTGATCCATGGATTTGCTTGGAACTGGGGGAAACGTTCCCACTAGCCCTATTGATATCAGATGTCATTGTGATAAATCTCCGCTCTCTGCCTTCCACCTGTTCCTTACCCTTCTTCCTCCGGACTGTGTACCGCAGGAAGGCAAGGATACATTCCTTGAGGTATCGGGTTCTGGGTCTATGTTGTTTGGGGAACCCAGAGATCGGGGCTCTTTGTAGAGACAGGACGTGTTCTCCTAACTCCTCTGAATCCCTTTGCTCCATATTTAGTCTTTTTATTATTTTATTTTGTTTTATATTTTTGAAACAGGATCTTACGTATTGTCCAGGCTGGCCTTGAACTCTTTTTTTTTTTTTGGTCTTTTTCCTTTTTATCGGTACCAGGGATCGAACTCACGACTGCCTGCTTACAAGGCAAGTGCTTATGCCGCTAAGCTAAATCCCCAGCCCCTGGCCTTGAACTCTTGATCCTCCTTCCTCAGCCTCTGAGATTCTAGATGTGTGCTACCGTACCTGGATCCATAGTTGGTCTTTATCTTGGCTTTGAATATCCTGCAAATCATGTTTTCTTTAGTTTTTCCCACAGCCTTAAGAACTATACAAGCACCCCAGCATGATACAGTAGGAAACAGAGGTAATGTGGGTTGTCTTAGGCTGTATTTGGTTGACAACTGGAAGCCGTAAGTCTGTGTGTCTCTGTGGGTCAGGACTGAGCTTACCTTCTGACTTCATGTGTAATGGTGTCCTGGGATTTGGGGCTGTTCCCTCAGGTGCCAAATGAAGGTGTTGGGCCTGATCATCTCTGTATCTCTTCAAGTTCTTGTATTTTGTTTCTGTGGCATATTCTTTGCGTGATGAATTTAATTAAATTGTGCCAGTGTGTCTCCTTGATCTCTCGATCTGGTTTTCTTTCACTTTTCAGGGAGGAGGAAGGAACATAACTTTAGTACCTCTTGCAAATTGGGTGACCTCCTGTGCACACCTGAGAGATGTTGTCTAAATACCCAAACCCAGTGATAGGAGGGTGCTGCTAGAGGCAGCTCAGCTCTGTGGCCTGAGTCCTCACTGTTAGAGGTGCCTCTAACTTTAAATTTGACCCCATCTGAGTCAGTGATCTTGTGGGATCCCTAAACTTGGTCACTCTGTGTCCTCCCCATATGTAAAATAGCTGGTCAGAGGTGGAGGTCCACAGATGACGTAGCAGTACGCCCGTGGGAGCTGGAGATAGAGGAGTGATTTCACATGCTTTGCAGAAATGAAAAGTGCTCTGGAAATGCTGACTGCAGCTTTTCAAAGGTTTTGTTTCTGCCTATCTGGGCATCAATTAGTTCAGTGATTTTTTTTTTTTTCTTTTTCTTTCTTTCTGCCAAGAAAGCAGTTGACTGCAGGGCCAAACAGAGCACAGCTGAATTCACACAAGTCCTCTCTGGACCTCAGAGACCAGAAATACCACCCTCCCAGTCTCTGGCCGTGTTTTATTTCTAGTTCTCTTTTCTCCTGCAATTGTAAGTGGAACTTCTTTTCTACTTTTATTCCCTTTCTGCCTCTCAGCTAATTCATACTGTATGCTACAAAATGCATCAGAATGAGGCATGGTACACATGCCTGTAATCCCAGCACTCAGGAGGCTGAGGCAGAAGGATCGCTACAAGTTTGAGACCAGCCTAGATTACATAGTAAGTTCAAGACCGTCTGAATCATATAGACAGATATCCCCTCTACACACGCACACAGTGTATGGGCAGTCCTGCACAGAGCTGGATTTGTCTTCTTGCAGCTGTGTTCTCTTCTTGATAGTCTTGCAGGCCTGGGTAGATCTAGACTGTGCTTGTCTTAGAATATTAACAAGGCAGCAGCAGGGCGGGGTTGGCTAAGGTGCCAAGACCAGCCTGGTTAGAGGAGCTCCCAAGTGAGTGTGCTGCCCTACTGGAAAGGGAGGCTCGCCCCTGGCCTCCTGGGCTTTGTGGGAGGGGCAGAGATTAGGGCTGGAGATAATGAAGTGTCTGGAGACACTTGGAGATTGGAACTGGGGCTCCAAGACATTCCTTGGACACAAACCACCCCTGGTGTCTACTCTCTGCCAAAAAGAGCAGGGCCTTGCTTCCGGGGGTTATGAGGGTGTATGAGGAGAGAGTCCCCTCAGGACTTACCTCCTCAGCTGTTCAATGACAGACGGAGGGGAATGAGATGGGGAAGAGGGCGAGTGAGTGAGCTCGGTGCCCTGGAGAGGGTGGCAGGTAAGCTGCCCTTGGTGTCAGTGGCCTTGTATTGCCCGTGTTTTGTGATTTTTTTTAAAAACCAACCTCTCAGCACTGCTAGAATTTTGTGAAGGGAGGATTGACTCTGTCTGTCTGGGGCTTCACACAAGGGCCTGCTTCTCTGACTTCGGTGTTTAGAGCTGCCCAGACATGCAGCCAGCTTCGCCAGCCTCCTGTGAACCGCAGCATCAGCCCCGACTTGGGAACAGGAGCTGTGTAAGCACTCCGTGCTGCTGAGCAGCTACCCCATCTTCAGCCTCTTCGTTTCTTCTTCTCCTAAACAGAAAAAAGCCTGACTATCATACGCTATTTCAGCCAAAGCCTCACTATGTGGTTCAGGCTGGCCTTGAATTTACTATGTAGGCTGGGCTCAAACTCAAGATGACCCTTCTGCCTCGGCCTCTGGTGTGCAGGGATTATAGGTGTGTGTCACTGCATCCAGCTCTGAAATCACCATCATCATCATCATCATCATTATTTGGGTAGTACTGAGGATCAAACCAAAGGCTTTCACACTGAGTTGCATCCCTTGTCCTCTCCTGCTTTCCACTTTTACTTTTTTAAAATTTTGAGACAGGGTCTTGTTAAGTCACTAAATTGCCCGGGCTGGGCTTTGACTTGAAATCCTCCTGCTTCAGCCTCCCCAGAGTACTGGGATTGTGGATCTGCATCATCATACTTGGTTGTACTGGAATATTTTTGAAACTAAATTTCTAAGGCCAAATAGTGGTTTATTTTTTTATCTCTATGAAAAGTACTTCTCACTGCAAAATGTCCCAGTATGAAGTGTTTCCACTTTGGAAAGGTGTTCTGACATGACACAGATTAAAGCAACTTAATGGGACTGAGGAGGAGAAAATCCTTTGGGTTGGAAAGCAGCGCTCCCTCCCTAACCAGCTGTGCACCTCCGTGTGTGGCTGTTTGTGTGAGGCCCCTAATAATCTGAGCTCCCTCATTCCTCCATGCCAAGCTGCTGCGCTTGAGCCCAAGCTTGTGTGGGCTCTGACCCAACGGCAGATGTTTGCCTAAGGCCCTTGGCCTCTTTTCCATGCTTCAATTTAGAACTCTAGCTTTGCAAGGAGTAATTGTTTCCTATCTGTCCTGCCCCACTTCTAAGCAACATGGCCTTGAAACTCCAAAGTTGGAGACCTAAAATATTCTCTCACCCTTTATTTCTGAGGAAAAGCCTTGGCCTGGAGGAGGAGGAAAGAGCTGTTTCTTAAAGGTGAATAGTTTCTAGCTTGGGTGCTCTGTGTTTTGAACTGGGGCCTATTTTGAATGGTAAAATGTGTGTGGGCTTTCTGTGAGAATCTCTGTTTCTTCAGGAATCCTTTGGGTTTGAAATTGAAACTAGATGGTGGCAGGGTAATTGATTTCCTGACAAGGTGTTGATTGCTAAGTCTTGGATGACAGGACTTGAGACAGCTGAGGAAAAGGAAATCATTAACCCCTGTGATTTAATCTATCAGTACAGTGCTGGTCACACACCCTGCCTTCCTTCCTCTCACAGAGGCTCCAGGCCCTGACTCACCTGTGACTTAAGGACTGGGTGACCCTCATATCTCTTTTGTATCTTTGAGTTTGTGTCTGTGTTTTAACCGACCTGCTAGGTAAAACATATTCCTCAGTTGGGGAAATAGTTGAACACTGGCCTTTATAGGTCTGGTTTATACCAGACTTCTTTCCTGGATTATCTTCTAATCTCAGGGTCAGGAGGTGCCAACTGACTTGCTTCCAAGCTGCCTTCCCTTTTTAATCCCCTGCTTCCTCTTGGTTGAATCATTACTCTTCTGTAATCCAGACTTGGTATTTTAAGTCATTTTTTCTTTTCTCCTTTCCCTTCACAGCCGCAAGGCATTTTTGACTCTTGCCATGTCTGCTTCCCATTATTCTGTTTGCCCCTGTGCTGTTTCCCTGTGAAGGCCTCTCAGATGTGCCCCTTTTCATATTTGTAGTCTGGCCTTCACCTTAAAGCCAGGTGACTCAGACACTAGTCCTTTATGCCTCAAGGTCACCCTTATCGCCATTACTGGAACCTTCTTCTGACGCTATTCTCATTCTATCAGTTGGGGCTATTTAGCCGGGACAAAAGAGGGCTGATGGGAAACCCGGGTATCTCCAGGGAGATGAAAGCTGTCCCAGGAGGAAGAACAGCCTTGCTCCAGAGGCCAGAATCCATAACTGTGGAAGAGACAAAAGGAAATGTGGACCGGTAGCGTGCACTGTCTTTTTAAATGGCAGGTTTCCCTGTGTGCAGCAATATCCCCAATAGAACCAGAGTAAGATTGTAAGGACAAATAGGAAACACCTAGGAATAATCTTTATTTGAGACATGGATGCTCTCTGAAAAGACTGATTGAAAAGCAGGAGAAAATTGGAAGAAAAATGTCCCTGGTTATGAAAATTAAAATTGTAAAGATCTCATTCTCTGGTTTTGTGTAATTACCATAAATTGCACTTTAATTCAGTAGAGTCTGTTTAGAATTGGATATAGAGGAATAAACAGAAAAAAGCAAAGGAAAAATTTAAAGGTAGAGCTCAGTGGGAAGAGTATTACTCTTGGCAAACAGTAAAACATGTAAATTATGAATCAATTTTACAGACTACTTAGACAAATAGATCTAATTTTATGCAAGCATTTAAAAAGGATAAAAGTATTACAACTCAATGGGAGGAAAATGTATTTGAACAGTTTGTTGAATTTTTGGTGAAAAAGATGCTAATTACCCCAGTTTTATCACTGCATGTTGTACCTGTGTATTGAAATATCACACTGAGCCTGACAGCACAAGGTCCAGAGTTCGATTCACAGGACCAGAGGAAAAAAAAGAAAGAACAGGAGAGAAATGTCACATCCTATGAATCCTATGAATGTATACACGTATTATGTATCAAAACATTTTTGGAGTTGATGTGGGGATACAGGTCAATTGATAGAAGACTTGCTTAGCATATGTAAGGATAAGGGGGTTTGATCCTAACACTGCAGAAAATACATTTTTTTGGTACTGGGCATCAAACTCCAGAAAGTTTCATTTAAAAAAAATTAAAAACTTAAAGCCCAGGCCCAGGGATATAGCTAATGGCATAGCACCAACCTACCAAGCATGAGATGCTGAATTTGATTCCCAGTACCAAGAAACAAAACAAAACGAAAAAAGACTTGTACAAAAACTTAAAAGCCCAGTATTATGCTTCATGCCCCAAACTTGTTGGGCTGAGGCCAGAGGACAGGAGGATCATGAGTTCGAGGTCAGCTTGGGCTATCTAGGAACTTCTAGGCCTATGTCAAAAAGGAAAACAAAAATTACAACAAGGAATCTAACCTTAAATAGGGCCCCTAAATAAATTCTAGGTAAATTATTACCACTGCAAAAAAACCAAGAAAATATAATTGAGTATCAAATCAGAAAGAGGATACACTTAGTTTTTTTTTTTAAGGCCCATAGTTTTTATTTGATTCGGTTAGGTATTGCTGAGTAGATCATAAAGGCATTTATTTGTAAAAAAAGAAAAAAAAATCCAAAGTTTTCTTTTTAATCCTTTAAACTTTTTTCTTCTTGATTTATTTGACCATAGTTCAGCCCAACAGGTAGGAAGAAACAATGAGCATTTTAACTGATGTTATCTGAA